TCCTTCCTTCCTTCCTTCCTTCCTTCCTTCCTTCCTTCTTGATTGGCAATTGGAGAGTTATTTAGTTTGCCCTCCCACCACAAACTCTGACAATTCTTTCCAAATGACAGCAGAACAAGGATGGGCATTCTTGATTTTCTGGGCAATGTTTACTTGGCCTGTTCTTTAGTTTACTGACTTCATTCCCATTTTCTGGACTTTAGCGTGGATCAGTTCACTGGATAGCCCGCTTCAGATTCTATGGGCCACTTTTGTTGGCTGAAAAGTGGGATACCCCCACGGGAATATTACGGGAACCTGCTCACAAAAAGCATGGACGTTAGGGAAAATGGAAGGCAAAATATATTTCTTAAGTACACCTGCATTTACACATTTCTGTTTTATGGCAGAGCAGTGTTGAAATGAACAGAATGAAGGCACTTGCCTTGAGTTTTATTCGGTGTGCAGCTTTGCTTGCAGATAGGTTGGAACCTGACTGGTTGGACCCATTCTCATGATCAGGACCTGACTGGTTGGACCCACTCTCCTGATCGGAGAAGCTGGCCCTTTTCGGGGGGGGGGGCTCAGTTTGTGCTCAAGTGTGGGTCAGGTGGCTCTGGAGAAGCAGAATCCCTAAGCAAAAACTGGTATTTGCTCAGAGATGGGCAGTGCTTATTTAGCGTGTCCTTAGCAAGATGCCCGTTTTCATTTTACTGTCTAGCAGAGGACCCCCCCCCCATCTGAGCAGGTGGTGTCCCATTTTTGTGGCAGTTTAGCCTGATGGATTAGCAGCTCTCCCTTGCAACTGATTGAAAGCGACAGCTCATATTTTGGCGAAATTATGAGTCCGTCCAGTGTATGCAAATGCCTCCCTCGCTCAGGTTATTAAAGCAGATTAGCTGAATAATTTTCATCCCCTTTTCTCAAAACATTTCTTCAGGATTAAGAGCCAACAGGAGGTGAGTTTGCTGACCCCGCAAACCGCATGTCACCCAAGGTGGACTGCGGCCCTTGCTTTTTGGAAGTTTTCACTGACATCCAGGATTTGCTGGCGGTGATGGACACGTCAGGTGGAAAAAGCTCTTAGTTTCCCATGAGGAACAACTGGAAACCGGGTTGGCTGCTGACAAATCTAAGGAGACTTCACAAAGCTTTGGAAAGAGCTCTGCAAGCTGGGTAGGGGAAAAGAACTGAAGTTAAAATGACAGGTACCCAAATGCATTTTTAAAAATCCATTAATGGTGTGGACAGACTTGGAATATAGTGAACAATTCAGGATATTGCATTGGAAAGGCCATTAAAGATGAAAAAAAAAGTTTACAAGATGATCAAGGATCGGAGATCTGGATTAGAAGGAAGGAGTAGCCTGAAACTTAAAGATTTAGCAAAAAGAAAGATGACTTGAAAGACTCTATAGAAGCAACAATGGTCTAGGGAGTTGAGAATAATATTTTCCTGTCTACCCCAGAATATTAAAAAGAGGGCACAACAAAATTGCTTGAATTTCAAGACATAAGAAAGTATAGTTTTGTATACGTTTTCCCCCGGGGGAACCATAATTAATTTATGAAACTTGCAGCTAGAAGTTGTGATGACCACTAACTTGGACGCATTCTTAGACAGATTGATTCTTGAATAATAAAGGAATTGGCTAATGATCTGTCCAAACCTTTATTATTACCTTTAAAACCCCTGGAGGAACCACATCTCTGAAAAGATGAAAAAGGACAATTCCAGTAATGACAGATCACTCAGTCTGTCCTCATACCTGGAAAGATTCTAGAGCAGATCCAGTAGAGATCCACCTGTGAGGACCAGGAAAATAATGTGACAATTACCAGATGTCAGCATGGATTTGTCAAGAACAAATTGTACCACGCTGTCTTTATCTCATATTTTCATCAGGTAACTTTCTTAATAGATTGTGGGAATGCTGTAGTTGTAATATGTCTTGACTTCAGTAAGGTAATTGATAACATATTGATTAATAGGCTACTTAATTGTGGGCTGGATGACATGACAGTTAAGTGGATGCTCAAAGATCATACCCAAAAGCGTGATCCATGTATCCTCATCATACTGGAGAGGGGTATGAAGAGGTAGAGGGAATGGTTATATTTTCAAATGATACAAAACTGGTTGGGTTGGTGAATGGCCTAGAAGGCAGATATAAAACTCAAAACAATCTTCCCGAAGCATTCCTGACAGACAATCCTGGCAAAATGATGGCCGTATCAGGAAGGGTTGGAAGCCACAGCACGACAAAAACTGATCAAGGATTGGACTTGACAGTCTTGTATATGCCAACCTTAGGCCCCCGATTTCTTGAACTTCCTTCTTAGGACGAATGCGTTTATTTCCACGTGGAATATCTCCACGTACTGTAGATTAGCAGCAGCAAGGGACTGATAAACGCTGGAAGCAGTTCTGATCTGATAACATGCATCGTTAGCTGACGAGTCCAGTTGGCATAAATTTATTTCAGTTTGTTATAGAACCACCAAGATTTGTAGCTTCCAGTGATCCAGTGTCGTCCTTTTTGTTCTATAGTTTGTCTCTTTCTTCCCCTGAAAGCCTAGA